CTGGTAGAACTGTTTGTTTACCATCTGACCACGTGGTACAAATTCATGATGGACAATGCCTTTCCAATCAAAAAACATAACCAACATCACCTTGACATTTGACAGACTCATCGGTGCTTTTTTTGGTCAAGGAGACCCTTTCCCCGCCCACTGGAACGATTGCATCTTGGTTTCAACATCATAGCCACAAACCCATGTCTCATCTCCTGTTATGATGTTCTTAAGAAAGTTTTCATTACCATTTGCATTGGCATGCAGTTCCTGACCGATTTCTCTCTCTGAGCATCAGTCAACAAACGCGGCACGAATTTTGCACTGACGCGACGCATCTGAAGTTTTTCAGTCAAAATTTGATGGCAAGATCCTATGCTGATACCCACTTCATCAGCAACTTCTCGGATAGTTAAACGACGATTTCCACGAATCACAGCACGAACTCTGATGACATGGTCGTCCAGGCCTGGGATCTTCACCGACCGACGTTTTGCCCTCATTAAAACGTTTAAACCACTCATAGCACTGCGTTTGGCTCATACAGTCCTCCCCGTATGCTTGGCTAAGCAATTGAAATGTCTCTGTAAAATTTTTACCAAGTTTGCAGCAAAATTTCACACATACATGCATTGTCACTTTGTCACTAATCTGATGAACAGCTTGTGCACGTGCTCAGTTCAGCGGATGTAGCTTGACGACTAATGTTCATAGCGGAACGCAGCAAATGGTAGTTTGTCGCCAAAATCTGCCGCTAGGTGCGCTCAGCAGGCGCAGCACACACTCTGTCCCTGTTGGCACGCTATTTACAAAGTTCGGTCTTTTTTGAACACACCTCGTAAGAGAGCTCTGCAGCTACTTATAGTCAGGCATGAAGCCCCAAGAATAAAGAAAAGTAATATTAAAACTTACATTAGTTTGGTACGATTCGAGGGCCTCGTGGCAGTGAGTATGAATATGGCAGTTTTCTGGGGTGTGACGTCACGCAATCTGGTAGAAATGTACCAATGTTTCAGAGGTTCTTGCTCCCTCCATCATCAAGATGATTTCTTTCTGACCCATCTGCAGCTTCAATTTCTTCTATCTTTCAAGGTGAGTCAGCTCTTTGGGATCCAAAGTACCCATGTCCATCACCAATCAGCACTGGGGTCCTGGAGACAGTTGGAAACATGGTTTGGAATATCTTTATAATACAGAGACCAGGCACTCGAGCCTCGTTTGCTACCATGTTTTAATATAGTTACATATTTGCAGCAAAACTACAAGAAAATATTCTTATATTGCTATTTATTCTACTTCTAGAACAGATTGACACTGCCATGTGAGACTCAATTCTATTACTCAACACTTGTATTATGTTGTTATTTTGATTAACTATAACTGCCAATGCAACTGAAAGATTGGTTAGATGAGTTTAATGTGTTCATAAGCAGAAATATAACAAATTTTGTCAGACTTTTCTTGGTACATATTATGTGAAAATATGCTGAACAAGTTACTCAACAGTATAACATGTCCCATGGCTTCAAAAGACGGGTCAGAATTGCGGGGATGCTATCAAGTCACATGTTCAATTCACAACTTTATTTTCAAAGTACCTAATAGTATGTTCCTTCCAGAGAGTAACAGACTTCATATCACACCCAAGAAAGAAAGTAAGTGCTATCTAAGAATGAAGATACTTTTCAGGCTCCCTGTAGATGTAAAGAAATGGGGTTCAGACTTTTGTTGGCCCATTTCAGCCTCAGTCTACTTGAAGACCATCCCGATTTGTAATCCAAACATGTATATTTTTAATACTTTGGGAAATCTGTCCCTTTGCATACTGTCAACATGCTGAATACACTGGTTTTATATTTCAAAATGTCAAATATATGTTATTTTAATACAGCTATTTGTTTCACTATAACGATCTTTTTCACTGTTGTTCTAATACATTCAATGTAAGTAGCTGTAATTCCTGTTTCGATGCTGTTATTGCGAATAACTAAAACAAAGCTTCAGGCGTAAAACTAATCCTGTTCGTAATCATTAACATTACGATAGGGTGTGTACGTGTTAAGTGTGATTTAACAAACGGCTCCTAATTTTCATAAAAGTGACACCATACATTCGAAACTCTAGATATTTGTCTATATTCACTAGGGGAGACAAACGTAGATGCTTGGTTGAAATCAACCCACTTAAAGTAGGATGAAAGTTACGCCAAGGTCATGTGTTTTCAGGACATGTTCACGTACTACCATTGTTTCAGTGAGATTTAAATAATTACCGTTATATATTCAATTTATTTTCAGAAGAAATCAAGATACGCACCACGCCGGACACCAGATTTATTTCAACATTATACCCGTCATTTGCATACTGCGGGCAGTTCTAAGCAATTATCAACTTCCTCTAATTACGTTTTTGTGGGGTTACATTTTATTATTTAATAGCAAGTTCTGAGAAGACTTACGTGTCAGCAAAAAAGAAAACCCAAAACGCTGCCTTTCCTCGCCACACCATACATCCACGAACCACCCTTCAACGCCTTGATGCATCGAAAGACCTTGCGCAAACCAACCAAGGAATTACTGCCACATACGTGGGTCCGTTCCATTGATTACCGATTCTACCCTCTTGGCAGCTGAGCAAAACTTCCCGCAAAATCATGAAATGTCGTCCTGATTTCTCAGAATTTTGATACAAACTTATATGTAGTTTTATTTAATTCGTGGCTCAATGGAAAAGTGCCCACTGAATATTTACAAAGTACTATGTTACACAGCTTAAAACAATTAAACAAGAAATGGAAATTTATGCGGTGGGGAATATTTAGATGCTTTCTATAAAATGTTTCTACTTCCCACTTATGCTATTTTAGATTTCAGTTAGAGGACAATATAAATAAAAGGTGGAATTAAAAGGACTACATGTTTTACAAATCAAAATATAGTAAGAGACTGATTTTCATGAAACTTGAAAGAACCAAAACCGTTTAAAAATTCGGATAGGGGTTACGACTCATGGTTATTCTGCCATAATTCGAACACGATATAATAAACTTAGCTGACACGACCATCCATCTGTATGTCAATTTCACAAATGCTGGCCTGTTTTTGTTGATACACGTTTTTACAATTTTACTTGCTATCACCCCAAAGGATGAATGAGGTATCATACACAACTTTGCAGGTTAAAGTCGTCCTCTCAGGAGACATATCAATACCATTGCCATTTAATCTTGGGCACATTACAGAATTACTACAGTATGTCACTATGCATCAAATGACCTGCTGCTAAGAAAATTGTTTGCCTGTGTCAGTCACTTTTATTGGAGTAACTTATTTGAATGTCAGGATGTATGAACAGCTTGTCAAATGTCTGTCTCTCTCTGTTATTAAATGGAGATATGTCATGGCTGCAGCCACTCACTGTCACTATTTTAAACCAGTACAGAAAAGATAAGTAAATTGACAATGCTGGCTCTCAGTGTTAATTATTCCAGACATGAAAATTCATGCAATTTAAAAAAATGGGTTTGACATGCCTCACAAGTCTTATATAATATGCTTTGCTGTCATAGTTTCCAAATAGATGGAAAGATATCTCTTAATCAGGTTCAAGTGGTGGCCCTTTTTCTGCCTTAACATAAAAACTGTCATTTTCAAAATTAATATCATACATGCATCACATTAATTTGTGATGAAAAATTGATGCAAGTTGAAGTTATTAATTAAGTTATTTGACAAGTAAAAATTGGAGAAAGTAGTGTAGCAGAATACATTATTTTTATCTTCTGGTACATTCACATAGTGATTTCTCTGTAAAACCACTATTGACTTGTGGCTGCATACAAAACCTGTCTGAATTAAATATGCAACTCACATGGTCCAATATTTGTTCAAAATTCACAGGTTTTCCATGAATTAACCTCAGCATTACAAGAAGCTGAGTTGTCAGTTACATGCTGTGTGTGACTGCCGCACTTCAGGAGGCTCAGTGGTCCACTAAACATGGTGATATAGAGGAAAATGGCAATGAACTGAACCAATGACATTCAGCCTGCCACCTGTCACTTTACTGACCAAGGAATCCTGGTGCTGACTGTCACTTGCCTGTGGTCTATGCAGCTATGAAGTACAGTTTGGGGCTGCCATGCTTTATGCTAGTTACTGTCACATCAGCTTTACGACTGCATAATGTTATTTCTACTTTTGTTGAAGATCTGGTATGTTTGCAGCAGTGGCGTCACATTGTGCTAGTATACTGTTCAGGTAATTAATCAAATGTGACGAAGCGGTTCGCAGTCCATTTTCCCAAATGAGTAAATCATTATCTTATAACCGTTACATCTGCTTTTTCTTACTAATATGTTTCCACTTAATGCACATCATTCAATAATAAAGCTTTTCCATCAATCTCTGTCTTCCCACATTTCCTCCTCCATTTCTTCGCATGGACTTACTTCCTTCCGTGTGACGTCTTTCCTAACTTATCATTTCCATCTTGATCTTCCTGTTGTGCATTTTTCTTTTACTCTCATGTTCAATATCTTCTTTGAAATTGTCTCTTCATTCACTCTTAAAATGTGTCCACACAATCTCATGTTATTTGTCAGTTTGCATGGCACATAAATGTCACCACCTAATTAAAGAAAAATTCTGCTGCTGAATTTAATATTGTCACATTTACATCTAATTTCAAATTGGTCACAGTGTATAATGTGATTTTTTCAGATGACCAGGAGTTTCTGTACCAGGGCACCAAGAGACTGCCGTTCGTTTATGTACAGTTTCTCTCTGGAGATGACATCCTCTTCAAGCCACCTCAAGAGGCATTCTCCATGCCTATTGTTGTTCTCCCATCTTGTTTTCTCAAAACAGATTTTATAGTTCAGGTCTCTTTCTTTTTCATGAGCTCAAAGTATCCTGAGCATCTGCATGCAACACCCACACCTTAGACCATATATAGTCACTGTTACAGATCACACCTAAAATATAACTGTTATTTTGTCAATGTTTATGTGGTATTTATTTAAGCAAGCTCTACTGAAGACATTAATGAACCTCATAATCCATAAAAATTGAGGAACTTTATCTCCAACTGAGTGACAATCAGCTTCTCAAGATCTCTACTGCATTGAGTTTAATTAGTTGTTTACTTAACATAAAACCAAATTAACCTTTTTGAAGCCAAAGCTTATCTTAAAATTTAAACAGTCCATGCCCAAAAGAAAACACAACCTATAACCAATACAAAGATCAAACAGTTAATTCCAGTAAGGGAAATAATCGCTGCTTACTCCGAGAATCTTATGAAACTAATAAGTACACTTTTGCAAAAAATGCATAATTACTGATACATCACGTGGTATATATAGTTACCACTTGGCCTTAAATGGTTAATACGCTCCTTATTTCTGTTAAACAACTCATATTTTACTGTATATCATAAAAAGTTATAAAATTTCAGAACAAGATGAATATGATTAAAGAAAGAAATTTTCATCTGCAATAAACATATTAGTCCATATAGCAATGCATGTCTGCATATAACATATATTTATAAAATATGTGTACCTGTCTGTTCTTGTTAATTCTTTTCTTTAATACACTGGCAGTCAAAAAATAAAATTCAGGTGAGGATATTTCATAACCATTATTCATCATTTACATTTCTAGGCCAATCAGAGTGGACTCTTCACTAAAATGTTCTCGTGGTGGCTACTGGTAATGGAAAGTGGATATGAACCTCACAAAACTGGCTACACAACACACACAAGATTCCAACATCTACAGGTAGGGCACTAACCCCCAGAAATTTATGTGTGCCATTACACATCTCAAATAACTCCAAGATGTGAATTACCTTATTTCATTTTATATGTGAGTAACATCATAATTACAAATTTTAATTTCATTAGCATATTTTTTGAAAAACACTTTCTCAAAACCTGCCTGTCTAATGAATCTGTTTAATCCTAATACAACAGCCATCAACTATCACTATTGTCTGTACGAGTGTGCCTTTCACGCAATGAGAAAAATAAGGAAATTAAGTTCTGATGGTGACAACTCTGGTAGCAAAAAAAAATGAGGTCTGGCAGAGAATGCATTTGGCAGTAATATGGAATCAGGCAGTCTGTTTTGTGCATTTCGCAAGAATCTAGTTCCTGTCACTGAAGATGTGAAAACATTTTAATTTCTTGCAATTTGCAAAGAAACTTCTGTAGTAAAATTTATTGTTATCCAACACAAAAAATTTTTGATCCCATCACCTTTGATGAGTCAACATGCTTAAATAACATATAGTTGTCAGCACTGTCTTCATTTATAGGCTGGTGTGGGAAGTCATGTGAACATTGTCAGTTTTTGGTCCACTCTCAATGAAGTGACAGGTGTCGTGTGGGATGCTTATAAGTTGGGTGCAGATGCCCCTTTATGCACCAATTTCAATGCCCAGTGGCACTATGCCCCAAAGAGAAGTGGATGGGGGATATTTACACAACTGCCTTCCTACATGGATAAGCTGCTCGCCCGGTCACACGACATGACCAGTGTCATCCTGAGGGTTGGCGTAATTGTGGTAAGCATTGGATACACTTTAGCAGAAGATGGTTGGAGTCTACAGATATAATTTTAATACACTGATTGGTGTAATATATATACATGCCAGACAGGAATTTTTTGTAAAGTTGAGTGACCATTACCTTCCCAAGAAATATTCTGCAACATGGGATTAATGAAGTTCATATTGTTCAGTGTTTAAGATGCAACAGTCTACTGTGGATCACTACGAACAAAAACTGTCAAACACTCTATTCTCTTGTTTTTTCCTCAGTGTGAAAGACCAAGTTTCACACCCATATATAACAAGTAAAATTATAGTTCAGTATAATTTAATCATTAGGAGAAACAACAGCAAATACTGACCAAATATAACTGAACCATTAGAACACCTGCTTTGTATTCAGAAGGTCCCAGGTTCAAATCTCAATCAGGAGACTGGCTATGACTGAGCTATCCGTGGTTATTCTCAGCTCCTCCAGGCAAACACTGGGTTAGTCTTCCTTCAACATCCCATCCCATTCATTATCCAAGAACTATCACATCACCTGACACTATGTATCTGAGCTACTGACCCCGTTGCTAAAGAAAGCATAAACACACTAAATAAAACAGCAAGAACTGAACAGATATGTTCAGTTTATGTAGTAGCAACACTTAACAAGGATTGGACATGTATATGAAGACCAACTGCTTGCTATTTCAGAATTAATCCAAGATGTGTTGCACTCTCTTCAGGGAAAACCAGACCATGGGTTTGACTGCAGAGCAGAGCTGAACAAGCTGGGACACATAGTTGCAGTGCGTGGCTACAGTGCACACATCTTGAGCACACTGATAGACCTGCTGCACTTCAAGTATGCACAACTGTTCCTCTTTTGTAACAGGTCACTATGTTAAAGAGACCTGGAGTGGGCCTGTCCGTGTCTGTCTGTCACGTTCTTTTTTGCAATCAACAATCAGAATCAGAGTACACATGTCGAATTTTGTCTTCCTTTCCTTTTGTTCACTGGTTTACACATTATATTCACAGAATGAGAAAGTTCCCATTAAAACAGGACTTTCATCTAATACAAGTTCTACTGCTGACAACTTCTATAACCTAAGCATAACATGTCTTAAGGAGGTGATGTCACTTGTAAGTCTGGAAGACTGAGTCATGGCAGTATAACCACTACATCAGTCACAGACCAACAATCCACTTAAAATGTTTTGTACCAGATGGTTTAACAAAATTAAATTACTTAATATTACAGTAACCTGAGATGGTGTAAACCACTTAATTCTTTATAGGGAAGTGATAACTATGTATACCACCAGCATTTACATTAATAACTCAGCATGTAATTCAAAGGGAATGTTCATGAATTTCACCTGGTTCTAAGGATAATCACCAAAATATTTAATACAATTAAAAGACAAATATTTGTAAAGAATTTTTTTTTTTTTTTTTGGGGGGGGGGGATACTGAACTATCATCCACTTGCCATAATCTATTATAATATATATGATGCCATGAAAAGACAAAAATAAGGTTTGACTGACTGTAGTGCTTACTTACCTATTCTCCATATGTTTCAGGGTTGAGTTTGTGGGAAGTGATTCCTGGGGCTCACAGGATGATGAAGGCGTGTGGTTCGGACTGTTGGGGATGGTAGCAGAAAATGTGGTTGACCTCATGCTGTGTCACCCCACAGTGACTGCGGACAGGACGGCAGCAGCACGGTTCCTGCACCCTACCTTGGACAGCAGGTGAACACATAAATCAGACTCCGGAAACCAAATAATGGCAGTAGGACCATGAATACCACTAGCAAAACTTAGGCTATGTTTGTCGTGCGCAATACGAATATAAAAGGAAGTTCATGTCTATCTGTTACTTTCATATCCAAAGGGACCAAGTTCTGGCTTTTTATTTGCTCACCATAGTCATACATGCAACAAGTAAGTTTCCACTGTTTCCAGGCGTATGCTAGCATATAGAGCAGCTGGGTTGCCCCTCACACAAGATGTATTCATCCTAACATTCACTGGCTCACTGTGGTTGGTATGTCTATTGATGGCACTAGTGTTGCTGGCTGCTAGCTTCCGTGTCGCATCGCTGCAGACTGCCAAGTTTCTGTCAGAACAGCCTGAACCTTGGACATGGGTGGAGATCACACTATGGGCAGTAGCAGCCACTTGTCAACAAGGTGAGCTGACCGATGGCCTGATGACTGAATTATGACGTTATAATGGTATGACTATCAGGCATGGACAAAGTTTTACCACTGTGCAAGTTAAGTTACATCTATTTTATGAGCAATCTTATACTTGGTTCTGAATTATTTGGTATGTCCACTGTCATGAATAATAAATGTTGCTGAATCTACTTCAAACCAGATAAGCCAACAATTATTTCACCCTACATTTACTAAATTGTGATATTTTGCTCTAAAATAAATGTAAGATAGAATAAAATAGGTATATAGAATAAGAACACAAATTTTCAGTAGAAAATCTAATAACAAATTGGCCACACAGAATCAAATAAGTACTGACTTAACAAAATTCTCAGTTTTACAAAGTTTTTCATTCCTCATCTAGCTCACTGTGTAAGAAATAATAGTTATGAATATATTTATGAAATTCAATTAATGAAATTCCAATTTGGCAGCGACATCTAGGTTCGTGTGGTGCAAGTATACAGAAATAAAGTCTCAGTGCATCTACATGAAACATCTTTGAAGTCAGATGTTTCATTTTTCAGCAGCGCAATGCAATTTGTATGTGTGCTACTTGTTTTGCAGGCTTCAGCAAGGAACCACAAGGCATCGCCTGCAAGACAGTCTTCATAACTGGCTATACGGCATCATACCTCTTGTACACATGGTTTGCAGCAGGGGTCACATCCCTGCTGGCTGTGCAAGGACAAGACACGCATCTGCAGCTCTCAGATGTTGCTCAAATGGGCACTGATTTCTCAGCATCCTGGGATGGCCTTCTGCCAGAATTCTTCATGGTGAGAACACTGTAAAACTTAATCACTTTGTTTAAATTAAACAAGTAGTTGATGGCCACATCGATTAAGGAGTAACAGAAGGAACAAGGACCTTAAAGTCTCTTCCACTTCAATATTGTCGTTTTCGGGGGCTACGCCTCTCTTTTACAAGTGAGGCGTTTGTTATCAGAACACACAGGCAGAACTGTCATACCTGAAGTGGATAAAATATGAAGTCATTCAAAGACTATGTCATGTGTTACAGTTGTTTTACTTTAGTTTTAAGTAATCGAGGGTAGAGTGGGGTAGAATAGGTAGGCTTAGGGTATGGTGGGCTGTACAGAGCTAGGTTAGACTAGCATGGTCTAGGTTATGGAACAGTGGGTAGGTAAGTGCAGACTTGGATTGGCTGTTTGATTAGTTGAATCTCTTGACAACTGAATAAACTTCCATTCACTAATATAAAGATTTTCAACCTTGTGGAAAACAATGTAATTTTTTTAAGATTTGAGGTTTTCACAGTGGTGAGTATAAAGATTCCTGTCTTCTGGGTTGTTGCGCTGTGTAGTCTGGTTGATGTTAGCCAGCGTTTCAGAGGTCATACTGCCTCCGTCATCAGAGCAAAAAATGATTCATCGCCCTGATGACGGAGGCAGTATGACCTCTGACCTCAACCAGACTACACAGCGCAACAACCCAGAAGACAGGAATCTTCAATGTATGTTTTGTTCCTTGCAACTAATCAGTCACCATTTTGTGTTACTTCTTGATGCATAGAATTCACCAGATGCTGCAGCACAAGAACTTTACTTAACGCAGTTACGAAGAGAACGCAACAAAGTACACATATTAGATCAGCTGTTCTTACAACTTCATGGTGACAACAAGGTTTGCATGGCAAGTGAGCACCCTCTAAAACACTTCATGTCCACAAGACTGACTGCAGATGAAGCATGTCAGCTGACACTCTCACCGGTAACTGGCACAAAGCATACAAAAGCCTGGGCTGTTCCCCAGGGTTCATCTTATGCTGACATCTTAAATTATTGGTACAATTAAATTTCTCTTACATGAATTGCAAGACATACACTTACATGTATTTAACACAAGAATTCTTACATATTCATCTTAAAGAAACTAGCACTGTCCTATTATATGCCATGAAGCCACTTGAAAAAGAGGAGGTACGACTCACTCTTTCTTGGTGGCACTAGATGGGCAAGTGGTCAGCATCATGCCCCACCCATTCTTTACCCATGGGAAAATCCCCTGTACCCACTCGGTATGAGGCAGAGTTGATTATCTTCATTCCTTTAATGTCAATAAATAGCCCATAAGTCCTTTATAGAAATATTAAATCTATTTTTATCTCATATGTCCAGCCAGCCAGTCCAGCTTCAAGAATGACACAAAACCATGTGTAAATCAAGTTGTATATAACTTGTACTTTGGTGAAAAATTCAGAAACATGAACTCAATTGACAACATGTAATATTTGTTTGTAGGCTGCTACGGCTCCGTGAGGCAGGCCTTCTACAGTTGGGCCTGAAGCGAAGCATGGTAACTCTCACATCTTGCAACAATGGTTCTGGTTATTCCAGTGCTGGGATTGGACATGTCTTGTCAGCTGTGGGCATTCTGGCCTCTGGAACCATGGCTGCACTCTTATTACTTATTGCAGAGTTTACATGGCACCATCACAGGCACCAATGATCACGCACTGCACTGTTTAGTCAATTGTGTGTAAGAAACAGCTAAACTGTTATTTCGTGGTTAATAAATCCAAATGTAAACATTACGGGGGGGAGGGGGCCACGCGCACACACACACAGAGGCAAAGTTTCAATACCTCTAATGAAGCTGAAATTTTTTCAACATCTTTTGTTTACGTACTAAAACCACAATGTTTTAGAAATGGGTTATATTTCTGACATCAGATGTCTTCATAAAAATTCCTACTATGCTAAGGCCTTATTTCCAAAATGTTGCCTAAGTTACATTTAACAGTCTGCCATGAAAATTTAATGATATTTCAGCGGCACAAAGTACGAATAAGGAAAATACAAATTAAGTTTTATTCTCATTAAGTATACTCACAGCTCATTTCTCAGAGACAGAACCCTACAATCGTTTTGCAACAAAGAAACATGTCACTGGACAAAATTTCTTCATCATCATAGCTACTACAACACATGTAGTTTACAACTTCTAGCATATGTAAAAATGTAACATAATTATTTACATTACCTTCTGAAATGCTGAAAATCAGATACACAAAGCAACAATTTTGGGTTTTGTATCAGTATCTTGATACCTTACTTGGTACAAGATCGGTTTTATACAGAATAGCTCATGGTGTAGGAGCTCCCATTGTAAGCACAGTCATCACTCAGCTGGTGAAGACACTCCAAACTTTTATGGCAGTACCCGAAATGACATTACTGTACACCCAGAAGCATGCCACTGGACCATATCCTGAGACACTTGAATTTATTCCTCACATATATATCAAGAATCTATCCTTCCATTTATGTCTAGATCTCCCCAATGGTCTTTTCATTTGCATTCTGATAAAAATGTTGCATACATTTCTCACTTCCCTGCACACACTACATGTCATCAACATCACAGCCTTGATTTGATTACCCTACTAAAATTTGATTTAGGGTAAAAATATGAAACTCGTCAATTAGCAATTTTCTCCACCTTCATGTTATTTCTCTTTCTCAAAATCAAACATGTTCCCAAGAACCTTGTTCTCAAACATCCTCAATCAATGTTCTCCCATAGAATGAAATAAAACATTACATTCCCACATATTTTGAAATTTGTAAAATTATTCTGTGTAATAACCAAAGTGAAAAATGTGGGAGCCTCAGCTGCTTACTGTTTGCTCGTCTCTCTTCATCTGTTTTGTGCAACCATCAGTTGACTCTGACCTGTTCCTCTTTCCTTGATTCTTCCTGCTCTTCTCCATTTTTCCTTCTCCTTGGATGCTGTAAAAGTGATGGCGATTGAGACCATTAAACTCAGTATTACATCATCTTCATCAATGATATCACAAATGTCATCATATTACCACCTTCTTGGTCTAAAAGGACGGACATATACACACAGTTAAAAAGGGTGGGTAAGTTTATGAGATTTGTGGTTCTCACAGTGGTAAAGATGTTCATGATGGTCATCTGGATTGTGATGCCAAGTGGACGTGTACCAGTATTTTAAATGAACACAATGCCTCCATCTTCAGCCCTAACAATCACCATGGACAGGACTAGTAAGTTGGTTATTCAGATACTACTCAACCATTACAAACACTACCACAAGCCTAGTGGAAAAGATCAAAGGATTCTGTAACACAAGAGCTGCGTCTGGTTTTTTTTAACCATTACGAATACACAAAATTCGGTGGGGTGACTCTCACTTCCTTTTTGCTTGTGTATAACTGAAAATGTCATAAATTTTATTCTTTTATATGTTTTAAAGGTTTACTGTAGGCTAGAGTATATTTACTGCTATGCTATGTATATAATACACTAAGAAGTATTAACCCTTTGCAAACCAGCCGGCTGATCTGTCAACCGAAGCACTAGCTGTTAAGCCACGAATTTGGCCAATCCGTCGTTACCTACTAAATCTGATGTTTCAATTACATACAAGGCTCCCAGATGGCAACACAGGGCTGCATCAGATAGTTTATACCTTAGTTCATGCTTTTCTCTACAGATTGATCTTCTAGGCCAACAAAAAATATTTTGTTTGAACAAATGAAATTCGTTGAGCTCGGAAGTGGACCTTGTGGCGTGATTACAATGACTGCTTGTGAATTTCGCTGTATTTTTGTTAAGACAAGTGTTTAGCCTTGTAATTGTGTTTTTAGTTGATGTTTATATAGAGCTTATGATAGGGTTTTGTTATTTTCCTTGGTTTATTGTATATAAGGTGCAAGTTCAAGAATGGATGGAGCCGATATTTTTGATTATTTGGATACTATAGATAGTGATAGTAACATTATTCTGTGATAGTGACATTATTCCAGAAAGTGTCTCTGAATTTACTGAAAGTGATGATGACTGTGCTGCAGAAAAAAAGGCACACCTGCTGACACTATGTCCAGCATTGAATTTCCGTGTGCATTGTTTTACAAAAAGTATTGTAGTTCAGGAACAGATAACAGTACAGAAACTCATATCTATATCAAATTATGCAGAAATAAATGTTCTTTCTTGCAGGATGGGTGATAAAGGAAGACAAAACACAATTTATGATTTTACCTCCTGAAAATAAATTTTTTTCTGTAAATATTTTTCAATATTTCAAAATTGTTTGTAAGCTAACTATAACATTAGGATATATGAGATATTTGTTTTCCTAATCTACGGTATTTAGTGTATAAGTGTGATTTTTTTCATATGTATGTGTGTAAAATTCTTATCTTGGTGAATTTTTACATTTTAAGTTGTAAATATGTGAAAATTGGCCTCGGTATTTTGAATAGGATTTTGTAAATAGGTTTCAGGGTTCAAATGGTTAATAAATGAAGGCAATTCAACTTTGATTCATTTCATTATTATGATTAAATTCTTAGGATTAATTAAATTTATCTCCTGATCCAAAACTTTGTTTTTCAACTACATCCAGCTCCTGATGATGAGTGCACTGAATGTAATGTCTGGATTTGACATTCTCTATTGTAAAGCTTCAACTTACTTGTGTCTAGCCTTCATGCCAGGGCCCCAGAATCGCTGGGGGTTCTCCTGGAAACGAGACAGGCCCCTCTCACGGGACTCTGGGTTTGCATCAGATCGCAATTCCATGTTGATCTCAGTAACAGGTTCTCGAGACAGAATAGCTGCTGCTACACCCACAAGCCTATCCTGTCGAACAGGGTGCATCTTAACCCAGTGCCTCATTATATCCCACACGACACTGGCTGGAGCATCTGTTTTGACAGACATGCGGTTAGCATGTGAGAAAGACACACGGTAACCAGCATTCATCAGTGCAGACCTGAAAAGCATGGAACATTGTGCCAATTTCAATTACCAATTTACTAACTCCATAGAGCATGGATCTTAGTGAGAAGCTGACAGTTATTCATCCGGTCAATAACTACTCATGTTATATTACAGCTGTCTGTTTGTTATTCTGTTCATAAGACTCTGAGCGGAACCTATCCTAAGCGAGATGAATCAAATCTACATTCTCACACTTATTTCTTTAGTACCTAATTTAATAGTAAGTAGGATTTTAGGTTCCCACAGTTGTTCCTTGGCTCTACAACCCAGTTGTGGGTCTTCACTGCCTCCTTTTCAGAGGTTTCCTAGCCTTTTGAAGGGTGCATTTGCTAGCAGTGAGTGACCAGCCCACTGCCTCTGCACAATTTCTACTCAATCCTGATTTGCCTGCTAGAGCCATCTAGCAGAGAATCAGGAGACTTGTGAGAAATGGCCGCTGAATTTTGGTTACGAAACATCTCGTTCATGCTCGTAAGGTTCTGTTACATGCCGTAAATCTATGACACGGGACCGCCGGCTTTACTTCCCCTCATAAGGAAGTTGTGCTACAGATTTTTATCACCCTTAAAAATCCATCGACCTCAGCTGGGTTTGAACCTGTGAACCTTGGGTCCAGTGGCAAGCACACTAACCACCATTCCACTGAGGGCGACAGGTTCTCACAGTGGCAAGTACGAAAATGAGAGTGTTCAAGGTTGCACCACCATGTATTCTGGTAGTTTACCAATGGTTCTGAAGTCCTTGCTGCCTCCATCATCAGGGTGATCTCATCATGCTACAACCCAGACAACAGCCTTCTTCTTTAATTTAATATAATAACCCCACATATACCCAGAATCCGTCGGAACTTCCGGGGACAGTTGCAAGTATTTTCCTCCAATATGTGGTGAACATACAAGTTTCACACACAATGTCATGTGACAACTTACCGAAACTGCATCATGGGCATGGTTTCTGAATGTATGATGGAGCAAAGTCTATCCACTGTATAATACAGTGGGACTTCTGTGAGCTCTTCTCGAACTACAGCAAGTACCCCTTGCATCCTGCGTGATGTGCCAAACTCGCCACCACCAGCTAGTTGCTCAAGTCGTATCACAAACATCTCATCATGCAGGGGTCCACTCCAAATGGGTCCTCCAATCTGCACACAACATAAATAACATTTTATATATGTGGGTATGGCCATTTATAAAACAAAATGTTTATATCAAGTCCCTCTGCGCCAGTCTAAATCACTGTTCACAACAATGATGATCTGAAATTAAAAGATTAAAATCAAGTAAGTCAGTACAGCAGTAATGAGTCCACCTCAAATTTAGGAAGTATCCAGTTAAAATTCATTCATGCCTGTCTCTTCCAAGTGGTCTCTT